AAGCTATTCATTTATTACACATTCATTGAACATTTATTCAATGCCAGACATTAATTAATAAAGTTAATAAAACACACAAAGGTCTACAGTTCAGCAGAAGATAAAGTCTCACTCAGTAGGGACTGTGGTGAAGGACACCCGTCATATTGTAAGCCATATGGACTCTCAGGGAAGGTGGAGGTGACTTTCAAAGGATCAGTGGAGTTAGGGTGGCAAAGGAGGAGACAAGGGACATTCTCCCTACAGTAAGTGATTTATGCAAAGACTGGAAACAACAAAGCATATGGGAACTGGGGAAACTGCAAATGGCTCAGGATGGTTCGAACCTTTGGTGGAAAGAAGAGGCGTAGCTGAACATGAGGCTGGACATGAACTGCTTGATATGCAATGCTGTAGAGATTGGGTTTCACCCTAAGGACACTGGCATGTTTTAAACAGAGAAGTCATCAGACTTGCATTTTAGAATTCTGGATGAAGGTATTCCTCATGGAAATGATTGAGGTGTATCTGATGTGATTAAGGTGGTTGCATCAATGTGCAAGAGACAGAGGAGAGTTGTGGAGTCAAATTCAGGCACCAGGCTGAATGGTAGAAACATTCACAGAAACAGAACTTTCAGGGAGGAGATGGTTTGAGTGAAAGGGAAGAGGGTAATGTGGTTTCCATGTATTCAGTTCCAGGCTCCAGTAGGGCATCCAGGTGGAGATACCTACCTGTGTGATTTTAGTTGTAACTCAGAAGACAGATCTAGGTCACAGAGAGAGATTTTGGGAGTTGGTGGCTTTTAGGCGTATTTAAAGCCATGGGAATTTGAGGCTAGTTGGATTTTTATTACTTATCGTGAATTTCTATTAACTCTGGTTCAAGGTTATTGAATTTGTAATAGTGTTGAATAAATGGTAGCTAAAATTATGACATTTTGAAATGTATTCATCCCCACCCATATTCATGAAAGAAACATTTGTCTGGAAGATATAAAACGCCACTATTCCGAATGTATTGTCCAAAGGAATTGGCAAAGAGATTCTTAGCCAAAAATCAAACTTAGAACATTTCCCATTCTTTCCCTTTCATAATAGAGAAAAGTGATTAAAGCTCTTTGGCTAAAAATAGCAAATGATTATGGCCCAGCTCGCACTGTAGGAACAGGAAGCCTTTGGTTCATTGAACTCCACAAACAATCCCCACACATTGTAGCCACCGTAACTTTCTCCATTGCTAACTCTTTAACATACGATTTTCCCTCTGAGAGTTACTGGTCTTGCTAGTTGCTATGGTCTGAATGTTTGTGTCCCTTACAAATTCACATGTGGAAATCCTGACCCCCAAGGTGATGGTATTAAGAGGTGGGGTCTTTGGGGCGGTTGATTAGGTCATGAGGGAAGTGCTCGGATGGAATGGAATTAGTGCCGTTACAAAATAAGCACAGGGAAACTCCTGGCCCTTTCCACCATGTGAGGACACGGTGAGAAGGTGGCCATCTGCAGGCAGACAGCAGGCCCTCACCAGAACCCAAGCATGCTGGCAGCCTGATCTCTGATTCCTCAGCCTTCAGATCCATGAGAAATATATTTCTGTTGTTTATAAGCCACTCAGTTTAAGGTATTTTATTATAGCGGCCCAAACAGATGAAGACTAGTATTCAACTTTTACATAAGGAACAAAGTTAAATTAGAGCGAGAATTATCAGAGAATATGGGAACTCTGAGTCACATTAGAGATTCTTTTACCAACTGTGTCATTTTTCTAGACAAGGCAGCGGAAGACCAGAGTGATTCAGTGCTTTCCTCCAAGACCACACCCAGGTCCACACAGAGTGGAGGTCAGAGTCCTGCAGCTCAACCACCCCCATCCAGCCTCTTCCCTCAGCCAGGACCCTGTGGATGATTTTTGCCATTTAAAAGTCGTTTGCTCTTTCAGAATACGGATAAATAGAAGTACTGAATAATGTATCTTAATTGAGCAAAATGTAGGGACAGAAAATGAAAGGAGACAAAGGTGCGTTTCTTACACTATTGACTTAGGCTAGAATTTTCCCCTGTAATTGCAAATATGCAAAGTGTGTCATCTTTCTGATTATATGTCCTTTACTTAATTGCACTAAAAGCTATTTGGTTTCATCAGAGATTCCAAATATTGTCTTTGGTTTAATAGCCAAAGGTTTTTTTTTTTTTTTTTTTTTTTGGAAAGTGGCTTTTGAAACCATTTTATAAGTGTTTTATAACAATTGCCTTTCTCTTCTCAACCTAGCAAAAACATATAGATAAAAGGTCAATCAAGTAGAGATTCTGAGGTTTTATTAATTTTCTGTAATGCTATTGAACAAAAGCTCAAGGACATTGAGACACCATGGATCAGTAGCAATCATGGAGGAGGCACCCTGGTTCAGTAGCAATGGCAGTCTAAACACGTGAGACACCATAGTTCAGCAGCAGTAGTAGGGGAGGCAGGAGACTGGACCGGCTGGGCAAGTGGCCCTCTGGGGCTCCTCATCTCAGATCCCAATGTATTCACTCCTGAGTATGTCACAGGTATTGGGCTAGATTGTTTTTAAAGGTTCCTGGTAACTCTAACAATTTATTATCCTACAGTTAAGACACATATTTTCATTTTATCACAATCTCTGATTCTTCACACTTTTTCTTATCCCACGTGATGTGTTGGTGAATCCTGTCACTTTGTTCAGTCAGCATTAATGTACTATTTATTATTTATTTACTTGGTGCCAGCAACTGTCTTAGATGTCTTTTTGCCTGTCATTTTTTCCATTCATTGTGGCTTCCTCCTCTGAACACTGAGAACCCCCAGAATTCAGTGACTTCGATTTGTTTGCCTCCCAGAGACTAAGCCGACCTTCCTAGTGTACACACAAAATGCTCCCACTTAAGTACATACTCTACCATATTCCTTCCTGAAAGTATAAATCTATCTTCTGAGTAGTCCAAGGTGTGAATGTTTGATTGTCTTGATTAGGAATTTAAAAAATTAGAAGGAAGTTGAACAAATCATTTCACATTTAAAATCCACATATTTCCTAGAAATGTACCAAATTTTGATCTAAATAGGAAGTAAGGTATTTTCAGAGATAAATACTTCAAAATGGAGTTAAATAGACTTGCTTTATACTCAGAGATTCAAGAAAGATGATCTAAAGTTTGGCTACATTATTTTTTGTTTTTAATTCCATTTTCCTTTGATTGCCTCATTTATAAAATGGCAACCAAAGACATTTTGGACAGTGAGAGTATGTGTCTGATGTGCATATCACAGCTATAAAATGTGTACATGTGAAGACTTCACACATCCATATGCATGTTATCCATGGCTCCATCCAGCAGTCCTCTTAATTATGCTTTATATACGCTTTGTGCAGCCAGGCATTGATCTTTCAAGTACCGGTGTCTGGTTCAAAGACTTGTAATTAGGCAGAAAGATCTGGTAAAATAGATTCTATGGAATTATTCAAATTCTCTGTGTGTATGAAATTGTTCATCTAGAATTATTTATTTGGAAAAACAGACACTTTCAAATGTGCACAGAGCCTATTTTAAAATTGTATTCCTTTCCATTATTTACTGATATTCCATGCACTTCTTGGAAATTTGCAAATTGCAGGGCTTTTTTTTTTTTTTTTTCTGTTTTGATATGAAGCTGCTTTGTTCTTTGCTGTGGGCCTGTTAATTGGTGAGCTCTTTATCCATGAGATCAAGAATCGGGGGCTTTTTATTAACTCATTGTGAGCTCTAAGATATTCCCATGAGCATGGAGAAGAGAAGTTGCCTTTCAGACTTCGTGCTTCTCCTATTCTTTTACAACACTGGTCACAGCCCGGAAGATGTAATCAACAATGACAAGAATTTAATCCACAGTTTAGAATTAGAATCCCCTGATACTGAAAATTCTATAATGAGCCTTTTTGTCTTTTTTTCTTTATTTTGTTAGCATTTACAGTTCCTTTTACTTGTGCACGCTTTCTATTCCAGGATAAAATCCTGTTAGGGATTTTAAAATAAATAATTGAATTCTGCATTCTAGTTCTAAAAGCCATAAAAGGTACAATGTTTATTTTTCTGGAAGACATTGTCATGGTCCATAGGTGGTGATGTAAAAATTCTTAGAATTTTCTTTCTTGAAGATGGAGAGACCACTAAATTCCTCTTTTCTCTTTCACACGTAAACACACCATCATCACATACCTTTCTATAAAAGTATGAATTTCCCCGCTAAGTAGTCTGAGAAATTATCTCTCTACAAAGAGCTCCCTGGGGGATTTACAGGGTTTGGAAGTGAAGAAGAGTATGAAAGGAGCCCCTGAACAGTTTCAGTGACTCCTAGGAATTTCAATTCTCCATTGCTACATGGCTTATTATTATTATTATTATTATTTTTACCAAAACATATGATACCCCTTTCTAGGCCACTACTATTGCTCCATTTTAGCATTTTCAGAGAATGTTTTTTGCTTCCTTCTGATTAGCCTGTTTTTCTGCTCCTGCTGCTGCTGCTGCTGCTATTTTGATGTTAGTGCCTGTGAGTAAGCAGTGAGCTCCAGTGTACAGGGTTTTTTTTTTTTTCTTCGGTTCTTAACAGCTTTTCTATTAGAATGATTTTATGCCTGGATGGTTTGACTATCTTTTTCTCAACCAAAAAAAACCATGAAAGTGCAGGAAACCTAAAACACCTTCCCAACAATTAGAAATTTGCTTGTTGTCAGTTTGCCCTCCATCCTCCTACCTGAGTCACTAGAAGCATCTGGGTCAGCCTGGGGATTGGTGGCAGACACATCTGGGGTCCTTTTGAGTGACAAGCACAATGAACCCAAGTGATCAGGACCATGAGTGACCATTCACCACATGTGTTTAGTTATCATCATCAAGGCACCTAGCAATTTTACTTCTGAATACTGAAACCCATTTTCACTCTTTCCCTCTGTATTTTCCTTGCTTTTCCCACATTCTTTCCAGAGGAATATGTTGGTTCCTTTTGATGTTTCATTTCAGGCTAGTTCGGGCACACAATTTTTCCTTTTCCCAAGATATTCTCAAAGTGAGGAAGGAACTCTGATGTACACACAGAAACAGGCTTAACATGTAAGTGCAAAAAGAACACACTTGACTAGCTACTAAGCAACCTGCACGACAGGAGAGATTTTGTACTATCTTGCTATGTGACTTTAGGTAAGTCACTTTACTGGTCCTCATTTTTGTCATATGTATGCCTTTCCCAACTAAAAAATTCAATTATTTTTATTTTTATAAATTTTCTCTTCTGAAACAATATTTATGCATGCATATCCACGTTGCTCTAGTTTTCTTAAAATAACTTTAAGGATCTTAAAACAAGAATATTACTGAATGGACAGAAAAACGTATCTGTACACAAAGACATTCAGAGTGACTTTATTAATCAGAATCTGTGTAACAAAATTGGCTCTTGCAATACATCATTATAGGCAGCACGACAAGTGCTAAAGAATATTTATATAATTTATAAATTACAATATCTACTTGGTTCTCTAGAATTTCCATGTCAAGTAAACAGAGAGGTTGCAAACTCTTTACATCTTATGTCTGACTGACTTTTCATTGTAGTTTGCTAGTTACAAAGCTGTTTTTCATTGTGAAAAAATGTGTTAATCATACAATACAATGAATGTGATAATTAACATAAATGCAAAAATCATATGGGTTTACAGAAAGAATGAACTCAAGTATAAAAGCATTAGATAAAAGAAAGAATAACATTTTCTAACATTAGAAGCCACAGTCTACAACAAGGTTATAGCAGTTATGGATATCTATGGACCAAATAACATAGCAACTGCCTGCATAAAATAGAAACCAATGGAATAGAATGTACACAAACACCAGAGTCATCTAATTACGGATTAAAATCCAATATAAAATAAAGGTAGTATTTAAGACCATGAGATAGAGACAGTCTTTTTATAATAAATGGTGTCGAGACAACTGGAAAGCAATTTTGAAAAAGGTAAAATTAGATCTGTTTCTCATACCACACACAAAAATAAACTCCAAGTGCATCAGAGATCTGAAAGTGAAAAGAAATCACCTTATACACACACTAAGAGAAAACATGACCGAATCCCTCTATAACTTGAACACAGAGAGACTTTCTAATCTTTAAAAATCCCTATACAACAAAGCAAAATATAAATGTGGCTACATAAAAATAAAACTTTGCAAGTCAAAATCAAGAAATTGAAAACAAACAAGTACACAAACTATCTACTCAAAGTGGTAAACACCATAAGCAAAGAAGTTAAAAGACAAATGACCATTGGGAGAAAATATTTTCAGTGTTCTTTTTCATAAAAGGCAAATACCCTAAGTTGTAAACATCTTTTAAAATTTAAAAAAAAAGAACAAAAACTTTATGAACAAATGAGCAAATATGTGAAGCAAGAATGCACAAAAAGACAACATGTGAAAAGATATTCAAATCTTCTCATTATAAGAGAAATGAAATTGGAACAACACCAATGCTATTTCTAATTCATTAGATTGGCAAACTTAAAAGTTTGACAATGCATTCTGTTGGAGAGGATGTAGGGAAATAGGAGCTCTCCTACATTGCTGGTGGGAATAGCAAATGGTACCATTCCTATGAAGGAGGATTGGCAATATGTAACAAAATTGTATATGCATTTAGTTTCGATCCTAGCAATCCCACTTGTAAGAATTTACTCTGAAGACAAACCTCCAACAATACAGTATATGTATATGTCTGTGTGTATGCATAAGGTATTCATTGTTCATTGAAGCATGTGTTGTAGTTGCAAAATGTTGGAAACTACTTGAATGTCCAAGCATAGAGACTGATTGTACATAGTATTTATATGCACTGTGTATTATGCAGCTGTAAAAATATGAGGAATTTTCACTTCTATAATAAAGTGATTTCCAGGATATATACTTAAGTGAAAAAAGCTATGTGCAAGAGTATAAGGAAGCTATGTACTTTCTTATAGGTATGAAATAAGGAAAAATTAGAAAACATACTGATCTTGTGCTAGAGGGTAGAAAATGGTATAAAAGACACATTTGGGACAACTGATAAAACTCGGAATACTAATTGTAGGTTAGATACAATTATTACATTAATGTTAAATGTCCTGAAGTTGATAACTGTACTGTGGCCATGTAAGATAATAGCCCTATTCTTGGAGGATAGAGAGCTTGGTCTTATGTAATTTATTTTAATAAAGGGGTATGTAACCTACTTTCAAATACTCCAGGACAAACATGAGAGAGAGAGAGAAAAAGAGAGAGAGAGAGAGAGAAGTGAAAGAGAGCACAGATAAGGTAATGAGGTAAACTGTTGAAACTAGGTGAAGCTAGTTGTCTTTGTCAGCTGAGGCTGCTATAACAAAATACCATGAATCAAGTGGCTTATAAACTACAGAAATTTATTTTTCACAGTTCTGGAGGCTCGGAAGTCCAAGGTCAAGCCATTGGCAGATTCAGTGTCTGGTGAGTGCCTGCTTGCTGGTTCATAGATGGCGCCTTCTCGCTCTGCCCTCACATGGTAGAAGGGGCATGGAAGCTCTCTGAAGTTTCTTTTATAAGGGCATCAGTCCCATTCATGAGAACTCCACTCTTATGCCTTAGGCACCACCCAAAAGTTTCACCTCCTAATATCATCCCCTTGGTGGTTAGGATATACACATATGAATTTTGGAGGGACACAAAGATTCAGTCTGTAAATTGGTGAGAAGGTTAAGTGAAGATTCTTTGTTCTATTTTTGTATAGATTCTTTGTATTGATCTTTGCATTTTTTAAAAGTTTGAAATTATTTCCAAATAAAATATCTTTAAAAATGGGGATAAAATAGACTTCTCACATGCATCCAAAGGGGACTTACACAGGTGGTAAAAGATGATTCTTGTCACTTTGTTCAAAGGAATAGTATAAACCTTTCAGGCCAGTCCTATGACCTCTGGGGTCAGTTCAAGGATCTCTTCAGAAGCCTCTCCAGTGTCCCAGCCCAGTCCAGTGAGGCTGGGCACATTTTATCCAGAGGATGTTAAGAGGATAGTCTGGGAATCAGTATTATTTCATAGCTCCTTTTTGGAACCACAGAGGTAGCTGTCGCTGCTTAAAGCCACCAAAACCAGTAGTGCCCAAAGTGCAAGTTCACAGTTAGATGTGGAATTGTGTCTCTTCACCCTTTGAATCTTTTCCCACAAGATGATGGTTTATTTATTTATTCATATATATATATATTTTTATGAGTACAAGATGATGATTGATTTAGCAACTGAGATAATTGATACTATTCATCTCAAAGTGTAGCAAACCTTAGTGAGAAAGAGAAAACAGTGGTTATTAAAGGACTTAGCACAGATTTCTGCTCACCTATGTACTTAAAAATGATTTACTAATTGGAATAATATGAGAGGCATTAAAGGCATTACGGGTGAGATTGTCATCTCCTACTGGTTTTTTTTTTCCTACTTTCAAGTCAGAACGTGGGTGGAAGAGAGCATTCTTTGAGCACATGGAATTAAGGTAAGAATTGGGCAAAACATGAATGGGGATCATGTTTATTTTGTAAGAATTGATCTCAATCTTCTTTGGCTATGTACTAATGATGCAAGTACTAGCTAATAGTTATTGAGTGTTCTGGGGACACATTGTGCTAAACCCTTGTATGGATCAGCTAATTTGATCTGTGTTCGTTTTAGAGATGAGGAAACAGGCACAGAGATATAATTTACTCAGTTAATGAGTGGTAATTATTCCAGAGCCTGAACTACTAAAGCAGATTGACTCTGAGATTAAGGGAATTTAATACAGAATAAAATAATGAGTTTAGAAGACATCCTCTCAAAGGCAAACTTCCTTATAGCAAACACTGTAGATTATGGCTTTGTAACAGAATGGACTGAAACATTTAGACCAGTGTGTTCTTAACTGCTTTATAATTGGCAGATGGCAGTTGGTGTGCTGTGAGTTGTTAATAGGTTAATAGGTATTCTTTGGGGAAATGAGTTTCCTAATCAAGTAAAATTGGTAAACAGGGCATGTTCTCAGTACATTGAAAAAAAAACTTTAACATTATTGAACGTGGCTGGGAAATTTTTTTTTTCATGTCCCTGGTTCTGTGAATTTCTTTATCATCAATTGTTTTGCTATCAACAAAGCTTATCAATGTGACCTACAAGATTCCCCAAAAGAATACATAATGACAAGAGAGCAAAACAACAGGATTTGTATTGGTATTTGTATACTAGCATTTTTTTATCACTAACTTGAGTCTTCTATACTAGCTCAACTTCTGGCTGATAAATGGGATGGTTTGGATGATGGAGAGGTTTTCATTAGAAAGATAACAGATTCTTAGGAGTGATTAGGAAAAGAAGAAAGCATAATTTTATCTGAAGCTTTCCCAAAGTATACAAGAATGAGTGTATTCCGTTTAGCAATTTCTGTTAAATTGCTTTCATTAAACCAAAATGAGAGAAGTAGTGGCTAAAGTAATAAGCTATATCAAATAATTTATTGGAAATATCTAGCAATAGGGTGTATATTTATAGCATTAGGGTGTATTTCCCATTCCACCCCTCCCCATCACCAGTGATGGATTTTCATAACTTGTAGTAGCTGGAAACAGGACTGGGAAAAGCTATGGTAAATCTCCTGTAGGTCACTGCCCTTTTGTGACTGTGGAAAGAAACCAGCTCTGCTGGGAGGGAGGGAAGATGGCCAGGACGTCCTAATAGGCCATTTTCTGTCTTCTCCCCATGATTGTTCTCAATCACTTGGCAATCACGATGCTATTAGGAGCACCCTGACCGAAGACACTCAGATGCTTAGCCTTGCCATTAACAACATTGACAGGAAGCGTTGAGGTGGCTGCACAGCTGATGGGTCTTGAGAGCCTTGAATTAGAAGTCGGCCTGTCCTTATGACATGCCGAAATGCCTCAGCTCCTTCTGCAGAAGGATGTTCAGGCAAGAATTGGAACTGTACATATGTGAATGTCTAAATTATTTCATCTCCTATATCTCTTCATATTCTATGATTTATTACTTGGAAGTGCAGTAAGTCATGGACGTTGTCTGTATGGTAATGGCTTGTATTGAACCTTGAAGTTCACCATGCCCTGGGAGATGGTCAGAGTGACGTGCAGAACCCCTTCCTTTCCTAGACCTTGCCCTGCAGCCACCCTGCTTCCCTACCATGCTGAGCCAGTGTCGGGCAAAACAGACATTTCCAGGGTTTGTCACCCCATCATGGTCCTTTAGGCTTGTTAGAGTTCATGATCTGGTAGTGATATGGTTTGGCTCTGTGTCCCCACCAAAACTTCATCTTGAATTGTAACCCCCCATATTGGAGGAGGGACCCGGTAGGAGGTAATTGGATCACAAGGGTGCAGCTCCGCTCTCACTGTTCTCGCGATAGTGAGTGAGTTCTCAGAAGATCTGGTGGTTTGTGTGTGGCTCCTCCCCAGTCCTTCTCTCTTTTCCTCCTGCTCTGGCCGTGTAAGTTGCGGCTACTTCGCTTCGCCTTCCACCTGGATTGAAAATTTTCTGAGGCCTACGTAGCCATGCTTCCTGTGCAGCCGTGGAACCGTGAGTCAGTTAAACCTCTTTTCTTTATAAATTAGCCAGTCTTAGATGGTTCTTTATAACAGTGCAAGAACCAGCTAATACAGGTAGGAACTGGGAAGTCAGGCACAGGTTTCTTTGGGACAGTGTTTTAAGACAGATCTTGCAAGTTTCCTTTTTACAACACCCTTTTTCTGCCAAGGTGCTCAATGAGGTTGTGCGTAGATTTGTCCCTTAAGTGTGGGATCAGGAGTATATGAATCTCCAGATTGGCTACCGGTGTGAAAGTTCTGGATGACAAAAGGCAATTATATGTATACATATTCCCTTTAGAAGCAAAATCTACCAACTTTGTTTTCTTTTCCTGGAAAGAGAACATGAAAAACAAACTAGAATCTGGAGATTCCTAATAATTGTCATCCTTAAAGGGCATTTACACCTGAGACAACCTTCAGATTTTTTATGAAAGAATGTAATTTAAAAATATAAAATAAAAAAAGAAAGTACTGCTTTTCACATGGAAGTAAATGCATAAAATATCTGGGAAAACACATCTGCTCTCATTGCAGAATGAAATCAGACATTGTCGTGATGGGAGAACAATCTGTTAAATTTTAAGGCAAGAGTTTTCTCTAAAAGTTCTCATTAATATCTTTGAAGTGTAGGAGCATCATATGATCTCTGAAGAAATTGCCAGCTCCCAAATTATTAGTCACTCTCAAATGAATATCCATCGTGTAGGAAACTGACTTTTTGGAAGGAGCAATGCTTAACATTAACCACAGCATTCTATTTGTTAGGAGGACCTTGATCGTTAAAACCATTCTTTGTGTTTGTTTGTTTATTTATTTGAGATGGAGTCTCTCACTGTCGCCTGGGCTGGAGTGTAGTGGTGCGATCTCCGCTCACTGCAAACTCTGCCTCCTGGGTTCGAGCGATTCTCCTGCCTCAGCCTCCTGAGTAGCTGAGATTACAGGCGCCCGCCACCACGCCCAGCTAATTTTTTGTATTTTTTGTAGAAATGGGGTTTCACTATGTTGGCCAGGGTGATCTCAAACTTCTGACCTCGTGATTTGCCCGCCTCAGCCTCCCAAAGTTCTGGGATTACAGGTGTGAGCCACCACACCCGGCCCAATTAAAACCATTCTTTTAAATAGGATGCTTGCCACTCATTTAAATTCATGGTTGCCCATTCTGTAGTCCTTGAAGTTCTTCCTTGACTCATTTCCTCCTCTCCTTATGTTTCACATCTTCACAAAAATAGGAAGAACAGCAGCAAAGGGCTGATGACCCACATGCTGTTTGATGGGGAAGAGACTAGGACTAGCAGGGTTTCCCATGCTTACTGGTGAGCATGTTTCTTTGGTGTCATGATCTGAAGTAAGCAGATACTCTTCTTACTTCATACTCTTCAATCACACAGCTGAAGTCCATCCCATTTTTTATTTATCAAACTTCGGGAACAGACAACAAATGAGATTGTAAGTATCTCCTTTCAGAGATGGATGCTCCAAGCAGACCTCTGGGACTCTGTAGTGCTCTTGGCAATTAACAGCTTCATTCTAAATTTGTAAACTCACTCTGGTTTATTTTAAAAATGGAAATGAATGAGGAAGCCAAATCTTAGAAATGAGGAAAGATGGCTGATTTCCATTTCAATATGTAAGACAATTACGTGAGTTAGGGAGAGATTTAAAAGTTAAATATGAAACCAAGGAACCTGGTCAAAAATTGTGCCGTAAATTGTTGAATAAATGAAATACCCCTGGAAATATCGATAGCCTTCACCTTGTTGATGAATGCACATTGGTGTATCAGGACCTCTCACTCAGATTCTCTATCATGGGCGAGAGTGTCCAGATCAGTAATTCCAGAGAATTCTCCTCTTCTGCTACATCAGTCTTCTGCATGCACGTAATCATTTCAATCTGCTGTCAGGTGCCCTCTACACCATGTGCATAATTGGCTACATGCACTACAACAAAAAGATCCACTTTGACATCTGCCACTTCAAAAAACAAGTGCAGGTAAAGAAACAAGAATATTATAATAGACAAATGTAGTTATTTTGACAAGTGTGATTTGTTTTTAATTATTAATATTTCACAGTATACTAGTAACTGTCTTGTAGAATATTTTGTAAAAGCAGTGACATCTGATAATGTGTCATTACCACATTAGCATACCTCTATGCAATTAAGGCTTTAGTCAGAAGAAGGGTTGGCTTTCATTTCTAGTGTGAATTACCATGAAGCTGGAGAAAAATGTGAATATTAGAATTAATAATAGTATTGCATTTATGTTACACTGTTCATCGGCAGCTTGAAAACATTTTATTGTTTCTGCCAGGGTCAAACACTGAAACCTTAATACAAGAATCTCCAATACTTGATGTAAAATTATTTCAACTGAGAACACATGGACACATAGAGGGACTAACACACACTGAGGACTTTTGGAGGGGGAAAGGTGGGAGGAGGGAGTGGATCAGGAGAAAGAACTAATGGGTACTAGTCTTAATACGTGGGTGTTGAAATAATCTGTACAACAAATCCCCGTGAACCGAGCTTACCTATGTAACAAACCTGCGCTTGTACCCTTGAAGTTAAAATAAAAGTTAATGAAAAAAGAAAACGAGGGGGCCAGGTGCGGTGGTTCAAACTTGTAATCCTAGCACTTTGGGAGGCCGAGGAGGTGGGTGGATCACCTCAAGTCAGGAGTTCAAGACCAGACTGGCCACATGGCAGAAACCCTGTCTCTACTGAAAAAAAAAAAAAAAAATTACAAAAATTAGCCAGGTGTGGTGGCACATGCCTGTAATCCTGGCTACTCGGGAGGCTGAGGCAGGAGAACCACTTGAACCCCGGGGCCAGAGGTTGCAGTGAACCAAGATCGTGCCACTTTACTCCAGCCTGGGTGAAAGAGCGAAAGTCTGTCTCAAAAAAAAAAAAAAAAAAAAAAAAAAAGAGAGAGAGAGAAAGAAAAAGGCTTATCATCTGATTAAAAAAAATTCTATGATTATGACAGTAATCCATTTATCTGAGTTTTTTACATGTAAAATTCCTTTTTTTTTTTTAAAGAAATTTGCTTTTTAGTCTTTTGAAAATTTGTAACGTCACATTTTTAGTTCTAACAGATTAAGCTTCAAGAACACATGTAAGCTTAGAAGGACTAGAGGAGTTTTTTGTTTTTGAAATGGTTAGAGAAATCTCAAGGACCACTGGCAATTTCTCAGCAGTATTGTCTCATTCCATCTTCACTCAACAATAAAACCTTCTGCATTCAGCCTGTATCATCTCTATTTAAATTTTCTGGTGCTGGATTTCCTTGACAAACTTGAAACAGTGAGAAGACAGATAAGGAAGGAAAGATTCTGCCCCTCCCCCATTTCCACTACCCTTTCAGAGACTAAAAAATCTGATTTTGCTTTAATTTGTACTCAGCAGTGTCAGCTCTGTCAGAGGAAAGGGCATCCCTGCTGACAGTAATCATTATAACTCCAGGAGACTAGCAGAGATAAATATACTATAAGCCATCTTCTGAGTGGGTCAAACTTGTCCTGATACTTTTAAGGTCCGGGTACTTTGCAGAGAGATTTCTTCCATCAGACTAGTTTCTCAGCGATGCCCAAAGCTGTGTTTCTGATCCTGTCATGGAAAAATGTTAATATGTTACACACCAAAGTATGCCCGTAGTGTTGATTGAAGGACTCTTTTTTAAGTGGAAAATCATGCTAATATTCAGCAAATAACAATCTCCATATAATGAAAATAAATAAAAACACAAATCTGGAAACACTGAACACCATATGTAACTTTAACTTGGATTTCTTTCTAATCTCTTGAGATTAAATTGGATATTTGCAGAATTCGTTGAAAATTGAGTATATATTTATAATGTTTATCAAATTCAGAAGCATAAAGTATCTAGGTTTTTGGAGGTTTTTTGGAACTAGAAAAAAAAATCTAAATCCTACAAATGGTAAAACAGCACCAAGCAAGCATTTGCTGGTGAAATTATATTGTATTGCTTTTTGCTGCTGCTTTGAATACTGTTGTTATTTTTTTTTCCTTTGTTCTCTGTGTTTGGCCTGCTGTAACCTTTATAAAATTTACCTAGGTAGCAATTTCTTTAGCATGTCCCAAGATTGTAGAGAAACAAGTGAGGAATCACTCAACCTTGTTTAACTAGAATGGACATTTGCTCTGTTACAGTGGAACATGTTCCTGATAATGAAGATTTTTCCCTTGAAATAATGTTTTCATTGTATTTTTTTACTGTATTGCCATTGCCTTTATTGTATTTAGACTTAAAATTTAAGCAACTGATTCTACAAACATAGTTTAATGTAGTTCATATAATTCTACAGGGTGCTTCTTTTTTCATTTTGTATAGACAGGTGACTTTCCTTTTCATATACATTGGTCAAATGAATCCTATGAGGTATCCTGTCAATGAATGATTTGAAAGTGTTGCAATAATATGGGGAAAACAGGGAGAAATATCTAATGAAAACTTATTATATCTACATGGTATGATGGTAGATGAGTTTTATTTCTTTCATTGAATATTTTCTGTACCTTGTAAAAATTGAGATTGTGAATTAAGTATTATTATAATCAGAAGAGAAAAAGAACTGTGTTTTAGAAAGAAGGGACAGGAGATGAGTGAAGACCAGGCTGCCCACAGGTGCTTATGGAATTCCTACTGTGCACATTTCACTAATCAACTCCATGGTCAAGATTTATGCCTAATGTAATGAGAGGGTGACTTCCCACTGCTTTAGGAAACTGCCCCTTCAGCCAGCCACAAAACCATTTCCACAACTGGAGCCCCTGAAACATCAACAGACATAATTTCTGCCAAGATAATCCTTAATGTGATACCATCTTTCAATGAAGGAGATGTCTCTGGGGTGACAGTCTTTGCTAAATTGAGTAAGATAGTTGTTAGGTCTTTTTTTTTTTTTTTTTTTTTCTGTGAAAGTCTTAGAAATTAATTCAACAGTGTTTTTAACCTTCTCTGTGTTTTTTTCTCCTAGGCTGCCTATGTAAGCAAATACTATGAAAAAGTTTTATTTCCCCATTTGAGAAGTTTCTTATTGCTCTCAATGAGTGTGTGTGTGTGTGTGTGTGTGTGTGTGTGTGTTTTGAGATAGGTTCTCACTGTGTCACCCCAGTTGGAGTGCAGTTGTGCAGTCTTGGCTCACTGCAACCTCTGCCTCCCGGGTTCAAGTGATTCTCCCACCTTGGCCTCCCAAGTAGCTGGGACTACAGGCGCCCGCCACCACGCCTGGTTAATTTTTGTATTTTTAGTAGAGAAGGGGTTTCACTATGTTGGCCAGGCTGGTCTCGAACTCCTGACCTTGTGATCCGCCCACCTCAGCCTCCCAAAGTGCTGGGATTACGAGCCATCATGCCTGTCCATGTTTTTAAATTTTTACTTTTATTATGAAGTGATTTGGTAAATTTGTCTTACTCTGACTTAAAAGATGTGTATAGGATATATTTGTACCAGTTTATTGCAATGTGTATTTTGAGAAGAGGGCCTTAAATAAGAATATTTTCCAGACATTCCCCAAATGACTTCATTCACATGCTGTGCATGGGAACAGTGTGCATCCTGCAACCTGTTTCTGCTTTTGTGCTGGCTGTTAAAGCTTCAGGCCCTTCCTCCTCAGCTCCCTGCCAGAGAGCTTGCTTTCCCTCTCTAGTTTCTTAAACTGCTTTAGAAAGCAGATGAGAACTGAAAGAGTCTCCCCTGGTGGCCTCAGCAAGCCACACTCTTCCTCTGTATCTGAAGGGAGATCTCCTTTCTTTTTGTGATCAGATTTAAAATGAGGTGATTTGGGAATAACAAAGCTTTTGTATTTGATTCAAAATGCCAAATT